CAGGCCTGTTTGCATGTCGCGATAGAAAAATTGTATAATTGTCATCGTCACGACCACCTTCATCATCATCACTATCGTCATCATCTTTATCCTCAGTAACATCATTTACATATCCTGAAATATATATATATATATATATATATATATATGTATATATATATATGTGTTGTGTGTGGTGTGTGTGTGTGTGTGTGTGTGTGTGTTGTGTGTGTGTTGGTGTGTGTGTGTGTGTGTGTGTGTGTGTGTGTATATTATAATACATATATATATATATATATATATATATATATATATATATATATATATATATATATATATATATATATAGATTCGAACTGTAGATATATCCATTTTCCTCGTCAAAACAGCTCCTCTGCCAACTGCGACCATCATCTCTGCTTGTCCCGCTATAAAACACCTTAACAAGTCAGGTTTAACTCATTGGTTGTAAATGCTCGAAGAAAAATTATTTGTTCATAATGGTCAAACGTTCTCACAAACAAGAAGTTCGTGTTCACTGATCAAGACTTCGGCATTGACGATCAGTGTTTATTTATATATCAGTTTTGAATAAAGATTATACAGAAGTGTAATTCAAGTTTTCGTTAAATCTAACCGTATTGTGAAATATTGTTACGGTTATGAAAGTTATTGCAATCATTTTAATTAAGCCCATTTCCGTGGTTCTTTCACGTTTCCGTGTTGTGTTTTGCTACCATTCTCATATTGACCGAATGCGATAATTTCCAGTCAAACTATAATTATCGTTTTCGGTTTCAAATTTTCCGTTGGCTTTTATTGTTAAAATCATAACCTATATTAGACAATCGTTATCGTAATGCAAACAACATTTATTTACAATATAAAACAATTCAAAGACAGTCAATTATAAATTATTCAGAAATTGGCAAAGTTCTCTCTTGTACTCAATAACAATAGATACAAGTTGGTAACTAACCGCTCGCCTGTTAGTTTCCATTTGTACGTAAACACGTTCCTCCCGTCCCCTGGCTAGATGAGAGCAGCGAGCAGACGGTGTTTTTCGCATTAAATCGACGCCTCATAGCCAGAGTAACGTCCATCATCGTCAGAGCCTTTGCGGGGTTGGCGCCATCTTGTTGTGTTCACAAATTTCGTTTGACTGATTCCGTGTGACTGTGCGCGCCAAAATGACCACGGTTCCCGTGGTGCCAAGGATGACACCTTCCATCGCATTCGGCTGGAGTAATTTCGTCTGTTAGCAGACGAAATTACACCTGTTGCTGTGTAACTATTTGTACGTTTTTCACACCTGTAACTGCACCTGTTACATGCTTACACTTTGGAAACTACGCTAAGATAATTTTGTAACAGATGCTACCATGTAATTGCAGTTAGCGGTACGACCATACTGAATATATTTTTCCCTAAAGTTTTTATGATTTTATTTCAGAAAATGTTAGAAGTTACAGAGATAATCATTTGATAATTTGATAAACCATACTCGCCATTTGCAATTTTACTATATGTTTTTGATATACTGATATACTTGATATAATTATCTTTTTGGTGTACTCTGCCAATCTGTGTGCGTTTTCATCAAGGCTTGATGACTTTTAGCTCTAAGTAATAGTGATTATCCAAAGATAGCAATTAAGGACATGAACCCACACACGCACTCGCGCAGAAACACAGCCACAAACACACACGTCCCTCCACAAACACAACACACAAATAATGATGGAATTGAACTAGATATGAATTTGAGTGAACTTTAAGAATAGTTTCTGTTTTTATTTCAAACTTTGAGACTAACATAAAGCTTCAAAAGTATAGTTCTTAAAAAAAGCTTCCTGTTGCTCTTAAAATACATATTCAACTGTACTTTTTATCTCCGTTATTCTAAGAAATAAGATTTCTTCTGTTTGTGATTATATTTAGTTTTTTTCCCAAATGAACAACTATACACTGCATGTTAAATTGATTTTTTTTTTTGCTATCCCTAATTACTGCATATGGATTTTTTTTCTATTTTATTTACACAAAGCCTTGGAACCGCCAGTGTAGCTTTGTTGTTCTTATCTGACCGGGGAACGCGGGGTTTCTTATATATATTCTTTCTTTTCTGCCTTTCTCACATTCGATATTAAATCAGTGTGTAATCACAAAGTACGCAAAAATGTAAACCCCCTAAATCCTCATGTATGCCGTTTATAAATAAATAATACAGACACACACACATATAATGTATACACACATATCAACCATATTCTCTTAAAACCTTGTATGGCTATCTACACTTAGACCGCAGGGGACAGTTTGTACTATGCAGACGACTCATTCATTCGACCCACTTTCACACACTTACCAGCCAAAAACGCCGCATTGTATAGATGTCAGAATTCCACTAAATCTTCGGTGACAAGGAGATCGGTTGGCCATGTGCGGAACCTGCGAAAAGACACCAATAATGGTAATTGGAAAATGACAATTGTATTCATGTCTACTGTTGATGTATTCA